GACAGCACCAGCGCCAGCAGCACCCCCAGCTCCAGCAGCGCCAACTCCAGTACCCTCAGAGGCACCAGCACGAGAGGCAGCCTCAGCGCCAACACCCTCAGCAGCTCCAGCTCCAGCCGGACCACCAGAAGACGCAGCGGGTCCAGCTCTAGCACCCTCGGTAGCACCGACGCCCGCAGCACCACCAGCTCCAGGACGAGAAGCACCCGCAGGACCAGCAGCTCCAGTACTCCCAGTACGAGCACCTCCGGGACCCGCGGTACCAGCACCCTCAGCAGCAGCAGAACCTCCAGCACCCGCAGCACCTCCAGCTCCAGCAGCTCGCCTCCAGCGCCGGGCAAACCACTCACGCAGCTCCTGTGGAGAGAGTAGCTCCCGCCGGGACGAAGTACCCGAAGAACCTCCAGGCCCAGCACCGCCAGACGCCACACGAGTAGGTCCAGTACCCTCAGACTCCGCACCCCCAGACGCAGCACCCCCAAGCGTAGCACCCCCAGGCTCAGCACCCCCAGGCGCAGCACCCCCAGAGTCAGCACCCCCAGGCTCAGCACCCCCAGACTCAGCACCCCCAGGCTCAGCACCCCCAGAGTCAGCACCGCCAGACCCAGCACCCGCAGGCTCAGCACCCCTAGTAGCACCAGAGTTAACAGCTACCTCGACAGGGTCAACTGCGTCTACCTGAGACACACCTGAGGGGGCAGGACCCTGAGGGGGGAGGGGGTCTACCGGAGGGGGACCTGGCGTAAGGAAGAGCGGCGGGGGGGGGAGGGACGCAGTGCGGTAGGGGAAGAGACGGTAGTAGGGAACCGACTCGTCAAACGTGACGTCCTGAGAGGACAGAACACGGCGCGAGGTGGGGTGGTAGAACTGCCAGCCCGGCGCGTCAGGGGGGAAGCCAAGGAAGACGCAGGGAACAGCACGAGGGGACAGCTTGTCCGCAGACAAGTCGCGGACAAACGCCCGAGATCCCCAGACACGGAACGCAGACGCATCGCCAACCTTCCCTGTCCACAGCAAAGCAGGGGAGGTCTCCGGCATGGAGACCCGGGGCTGAAGGTTGATCTGATGCGCCGCGTACCGAACCGCAAACGGCCACAGAAAATGGGGGGCAGCCGCATGGACCATGGACGTACGAGCGACGTCCATGACCATGCCAATGCGGTGCTCAGCAATCCCATTTTGCTGCGGAGAGTCCGGAAGCGTGAAGGTCTGGCGGATGCCCTGTGCGCGACAGAAGGCTCGCAGAAGGTCAGAGGAGAACTCTCCGCCTCTGTCAGAGTGCAGACGCAGAACAGGAAAGTCCGAGCCGAAACTCTCTCTGAGCTGGAGACGAGCTGCGCGGATCCAGGCGATCAACACCTCAGTGACCTCACCCTTGCTGCGCAAGGGGAAGACTGCGGTGTAACGCGAGTAGTCGTCAACCACCAGCAGAAAGTAACGCTCGTGACCCTGTCCACGGACGCGGGCTGGGCCCCACACGTCCATGTGAAGCGTCTGCAGTGGAGCCTCTGTCGGAGGAAACTCGGAGGAGTGAGGAGCAGCGCGCTGCCGCCCCTCGACGCAGGGAACGCAGGTGGGGGCAGGCCCTGGAGGAAGAGGAGGGAGGGACCGGGGGAGACCAGAGACAAGGACACGGGAGGCCATGCCTCGAAGACGAGGCAGGGAGGGGTGACCAAGGCGGTGGTGCCAGAGGAGAGTCTGGTGAGACAGGAGACGACACGAGCAGGGGGCAGACTCAGGACCAGACCTGGACGCCGCAGCAAACACCTGACCCGACGCGGCTACCTGAGCAGACTCAGCGACCGGAGGAGACTCAGTAGTCAGTGTGTACAGGCTCGACCCCGGTTGACGGGTAAACGTGGCCAAGTGACGGCCCGTCCGAGCACAGGTACAGTGGGTCACTCGCTGATTCGCAGGAGTGAACTGGTGAACCCCTCCATCGTGCAGATCAGCACCACTCACCAAGTTCGTAGAGAACGAGGGGAGGTAAAGACCCGACAGGGTGCCAGAAGGGGCCGCCGGACACGGTAAGACAGTGGAGAAGTGGGCAAGGACAGGACCCCCATAGGGGTCTGCCAGGGAGACTGCCACTGGCCGACTAAGCGGCGTAAGCGTGGTGCGGTCTCGAAAGAAGGAGCGGGAAGCACCCGATTCAAGGGTGAAAGTGTGGGTGGCCGGGGCCGACGCGGTACCTGAGAGCGCAGACTCACCAGCACCTGGGGCAGCAGACTCACTAGCACCTAGAGCAGCAGCCTCACCAGCACCTAGAGCAGCAGTCTCAATGCCCGGGTCAGGCGGAAAACACCGGTAACAGTCACCCTCATCACTAATAGTCACAGAATACATTGCAGCAAGAATAGCATCATAATCAAGATCAAAGATCGCAACACCCGCCCTAGACAGCTCGCCCCAGCGAGGGATCTCAGTAGCGTCGGGGAACTGATGACGTCAAGCGTCTGTCAGGCGGCCGAAGCAGCGTTGGGTGGAGTGCAGACCCCCACACTGCTCACCCGCACGGTCGCCTGTACGCAGAACGTAGGTACAGGGGCCAGCACCCCCACCCCGCTGACGAGCAGTGTACCACTCACGAAGCTGCTGGGGGGAAGGGGTCTCACGAGTGCGCTGTTGCTGCTGCTGCTGGCGCTGACCACCGCCGGAGCCGACCCTCTGCGAAGAGCCGCCCCGACCAGCTCCACCGCCGCCGCCGCTACCTCCACCACCGCCTCCACCTCCACCACCTCCGCTCGCACCGCCACCAGCGCCGCCTCCTCCGCCTCCACTGCCGCCACTAGCGCCCCCACTCCCGCCACCACCCCCACCGCCACCCCCACCCCCTCCGCCGCCTCCACCGCCGCCTCCACCGCCCCCGCCAGCCCCTCCAGCGCCCTTGCCGGGGCGGCGTCTCCAGCTAGGGGCAGACGCTGCGCCGACCGACTCAAGACCAACGAGGTCGGCCGCAGCAGCAGAGGCAACAGAGGGCAAGAGGGGGGAGGGGGAGCACCCCTCAAAGACAGGGGTGCGAGGGTCACCACGAGAGGCTCCTACAGCGACTATACTCTTTTCTGCCGCTAGGAGGCGCTCCTCGAGGAGGTCAACGGTGAGGGTGGTGGGGCAAACAGAGAGGAAGTGGTCCCTGACCGAGCGAAGGGTGTCAGGGAGCCGGGTGACTATGTAGTAGAGGGTGATGTACATAGGGGGGGGGTTCTTGGCGCAGAACTCAGCAGGAAGCGCAGCGCGGTAGCGAATGTCACTAGTGCGAAGGTGCGTAATGAGGTCAGCGACTGTGGGAAAAGCGGCGAGGTCAGGGAAGAGGTACGGCAGAATGAGGCGGCTAAGGGCAGCAGTGGCAGGGGAAGAGTAGCGCGCAACGACAGCGTCGTACAAGGTCTTAGCACTCTTGTACTGACTAAAATGCGCGCGCTCAGCGGTCGGTAAGTGGCGGCGCACAGCAAGGCGAGCAGCAGCATCGCGCGTGGCCCACTGTGAGCGAACAGTGGCATCAGCATCAGCAGACGGGGCAGGAGAGGCACCAGACATGAGATCGAAAAGGGAGAGACCGTCTGCCCTATCGCACTGTAGGAAAAGCTGCAAGTCATCGACCCAGACCTCAAAGTCAACAGCCCGACCCTCAGCATCAAAGGTAAGGACACTGGGGGTAGCCATGACAGCAGCAGTCTAGGGGTGAGAGCGGCAGGCTAGAGGTAGTGCAGTGGCAGAGACGCTGCTCGGGAAAGCTCTCACCAGTCCGAGTGAGGAGGGCCGGGGCGCGCCGGCAGGAACAGGGCCGCAGCTGCAGCGGCGGCGGTTCGGCGGCTCAGCAGCGGCTCGGCGGCGGCTCGGCGGCTCGGCGGCGGCTCGGCTGCGGCTCGGCGGCTCGGCGGCTGCTTGGCGGCTCGGTGGCGGCTCGGCGGCTCGGCGGCTCGGCTGCAGCTGCGGCGGCTCAGCGACGGCGGCGGCAGGGCCGGTGTAGGGCAGCGACGGGGCCGCTGAAGGGCGGCGGCGGGGCCGCTAGAAGGCGGCGACGGGGCCGCTGGAGGGCGGCGACGGGGCCGCTGAAGGGCGGCGGCGGGGCCGCTAGAGGGCGGCGACGGGGCCGCTGGAGGGCGGCGACGGGGCCGCGGTAGGGCGGCGATGGGGCCGCTGAAGGGCGGCGGTGGGGCCGCTAGAGGGCGGCGACGGAGCCGCGGTAGGGCGGCGACTGGGCCGCTGAAGGGCGGCGGCGGGGCCGCTAGAGGGCGGCGACGGGGCCGCTAGAGGGCGGCGCGAGGGGCCGTAAGGGGCCGTGAGGGGCCGTGAAGGGCGGCGTCGGGCCGCGAAGGGGCCGCGAGGGGCGGCGCGAGGGGCCAGAAGGGGCCGCGAAGGGCGGCGCGAGGGGCCGTAAGGGGCCGCGAGGGGCCGTAAGGGGCCGCGAAGGGCCGTGAAAGGGGCCGCGAGGGGCCTGAAGAGGGCGCGTCGGGCCGCTAGGGGCTAGGGACGCGACGGGAGGGAGGGCACACGGGGCGCGACTCGGGCAGGAGTGAAGCGCGCTCCGGGCAGGAGAAAAAAAAAATTTGATCGTGGTGGGCCCTAGGGAGCGTTCCCACTAGGGAACCTGCTCTATACCATGTGAAAGTTAGAACGAGAATGGTGAACTAGGAAATGAGCTGGGTACAAATATGAAACCCTAGAAAGCTGTACCCCATACTGTCTACCCCACTACAGCCTAGAAAGACTATAGCATATAAGTTCGACACTAGTCCCTTCTATGCTACCAGGCTTCCCCATACACCTAGCCTCTCCACTTCTCCTGCTCTCACCTGCACCTCCCACCCCAACCTGCTGCCCTGGCTGACACACAAGCAGTGATGCCACAAAGGTGTTGCTGAGCCCAGATGAGGACGTGGGGGCTGCCTGGTGATCGTTGACAAGAAGTGGAGCCTCGAATAACCAGACGAGAAGCTGGACCGCAAGCCAAAAGGTACCCTAGCAAAGCTTGAACACACAGAACGAATCGTTTCTTCCTAAGCATACAAATCGATGCCCCAAAAGGGAGTCGGGTTGTTGCTCCTAGCTTTTGCGTCAAGGCCCTCCATCCGGGCCATGCCGCCAGCATCGAGCTCAAAGTCAAAGATGGCTATGTTCTCCGCCAGGCGCTCCACTCGGTTGGACTTGGGTATCACCACCGTGTTGCGCTGCACTCCCCACCGCAACACCACCTGCGCCGCTGTCTTGTTGTGCTTTGCAGCCAGCTCCTGAGCACGAAATCACATCACACACATAGGAAAGGCCAAGCAGCAGATAAGCGCAGAGCAGCAGGAGTAGAACATGATAGAGACATTCTCAAATCAGAAGCACATTCAGAACGAAGCTGCAGCAGGAAAGGCATGAAGCAAGAATGGGTGAGAGGGAGCGCACGAGCACAACGGGGTCGGAGAGCGGGGACTTGGACTTGAAGAGCTCCTCGTTGGCAGCGCCGCCGCCCAGGGGCGTGTGGGCAGTGAGGGTGACGCCGTGCTTGGAGCAGAAGCACAGCAGCGAGGCGCGCTGGAAGTAGGGGTGCGTCTCCACCTGGTTCACTGCTGGCCTCACTGCGCTGCTGTACGCCAGACAGTCGCGCGTCAGATACACGTCGTAGTTGCTGTGGGAGGGGTCACATGGGGGCGGGGAAGGTGGGGTTGTGAGTGACGGAAAGGCAGGGGTTGAAGGGGCGGGGGGCGGGGTGTTGTTGAAGGGAGAAGTAAGCAGTGTGAGGCAGAGAGATGAGGCTTAGAAGCAGTGCGGGGGAGTGGAAAACTAAGGGCGAGCTATGAAAACATCCCTTCGATTCTATCCACGTCATGCACCACCGTGCCGTGCCGACTGGAGCTCTGGACTGGAGCTCTGGACTGGAGCTCTGGACTGGAGCGCACCTGATGCCGATGGAGCGCACCTGATGCCGATGGAGCGCACCTGATGCCGATGGAGCGCACCTGATGCCGATGGAGCGCACCTGATGCCGATGGAGCGCACCTGATGCCGATGGAGCGCACCTGATGCCGATGGAGCGCACCTAAACCCACAAAGGAAAACATAAAACAGTTGCGTAATTGGAATCCAGGTCTTCGCTTTGCTGTAATAGAAAACGGTTGTGAAACGGTCCTGAAGAATTTGGCTCAATCTGCCTCATTACAGTTAATTATAATCCATTTGTGTTGAAGCCAAACTCCCCTGCTGACTCCCGTCACGAATATTCTTGAGTTCTCGTGTGGAATCGTGGACACTCGTATGGGATTCCCGTTTCCCAGTTGTAAAACCGCTTTTATGATTATTGAAACGGAATTCACCGTTTTGTACCTGTTAAAAAATGATCATGCTAAGCAGCGTGACTTTCGTGCGAATTTGGTTGTTTCCAAGTCAGCGCGGGATACGTTTGGTCAATCGTAATCCCGTGGCACCCCCGGTCAAGCGGGAAAAGCCGATCACTGACGCGATCGTGCTTTTTCCTGCGCATGACAGGGCATTAAATTGCCCTGTCCTGTTGCGATTGTGCAACTGTGCACGGTCGCAACAGTTGCGACACACGCGCGGGCCCTGAGGGGCCACGCGCGTATGTCAGGACCCCACGCACGGGTCCTGACTTTCGCGCACTTTTTGACCAGCGCGAAATTGGTCAAATGGCCGAGTCAAAGACTCGAGCCCAGCACCCCCCGACACACTCGACACTCGCCACGAGCGCTCATGAAAAATCGTGGACTTTCATGAGCTTTCATGACGCTCGTAATTATCATGAACGCTCATAGTAGTTCATGAGAATTAACTAACGTACATGAGTCGTCATGAGAATTCATGACCCGTCATGATCCGTCATGACCTGTCATGAGCTCACAACAAAAACACATGAAACGGAATGCAAACTCAAAAGCGCACAGAACACACACAAAATGCAGGACTTCATGCAGGCGGCTGGTTGACGTGCAAAAATATTATTTGCACCCAACAATAGGGCCCCACCTTTTTAGTCCAGGGCTAACAGGACTTACGTATTGCCTTCGAGGCCTTCTGGTGTGAGGTACGTGAGCTGTTCGGAAACCTCGGCCGGTAGTAGTACCCATCATGGCTACCGCCGCTTAGCCGAAACTTTTAGGCATTAGCTTGAGCATTTCCCTGTAGGTCGTTTTCTCGCCTCCTGAAGCCCAGAATCTGTTTCTCTCACCAGACCCGCTTTTCCCGCAACTTCGTATATTGTAGCCGGTAGAACCCCCGAAAATCGAGGGTCCAAACGCTGCGCGAAACCGTTGTCCCGTTGGTGTACTTCCCTGTCTGCGGCGCAACTTCCTTTGATCAGGGGGAACCTGTGTCTCCTGAAGTACAATGTCGGCTGCTGCTGTTGCTCCAAAATTTTTGCCGACTTCATTGCAGGCACAGAAGTGACCCTAACGTGAATAGTCTAGTCGTAGGCGGCTTTTTCCAAACTTTTCGGTGGTCTGAAAACAACTTCCGTCCCACACTGTGCCGCGCTTGCCGAAAAACTCCCACGACGCACCCTCCTGCAAAGACATATGCCGCACCTGAGCGGGACGACGGTAGACCCCCGTTTCTTCGGGAGTCGCCACGCCGTCTCTCCTTGCCGTCGTTTTTTCTGACGCAAATCACCATGCGTCTGGCTTGCTCGACCAGCTGTCGTCTCCACGTGCTGCTACCCGAAATCTTCGCGCACAGTGACGACGCACGTCACTTGCCGAAGACGTCCAACGGACTCATGCGCATCGTGATGAAGACGCCCCAACACCACTTGCTGCATGTAGTCGCTCCGAAAATCTCGTGCGCAGTTGACGACCACGTGCCGACGCCAACTCGCACCACTGACGATTCCGACAATTTCGGACGTGTAGTGACGACGATCCTGCCGACGTCTGCTGCTACACAAAAATCAGCATCGAAATTGACGATGCGTTTAAAGCCCGAGGTCAGCATGGTTTTTGAGAAAATCGAATAATGGCTTTAACAATGTTGGCGAAAGGCAAAAACCATTGCGAGACCCCAAAAGGGAGGGCGGCGGGCGGAATGCATGGCGACGGGCGACGGGCGGAAGGGATGGCGACGGCGGAAGGGAGGGCGACGGGCGGAAGGGAAGGTGACGGGAGGAAGGGAGGGCGACGGCGGAAGGGAGTGCGAAGGCGCTAGGGAGAGCGACGGGCGGGAGGGAGTTTGATGGGCGTAAGACACAGCGACAGGTGCATTGGAGTGCAGGCACACGGAAGGGAGTGCGGCGGACGGAAGCGGGTGCATCGAACGTACATGTGAGGCAAGCGCCCGATCCGTGTGCTTCGAACGTACATACATGCGCCATCGTCCCTATAGAAGTGGGCGTGACGCGGCATGACGTTTTTCTTTATGCTAGCTAATGCGTTTTTTGTTGTTGGCCGAAACAAACTGGCTGCTGCAAGGATACAGACATCTCGCTGCCAGTGTCCACGTGAGATCTTACGCCCTTCAGTGGTCCTGAAGAGCGCAGCGCACTAGTATCTTAGGCTCAATATGGTTGCACATTAGTACAACTTGGTTTTCAAGTTTACTGAATGTGAATAGTGCTCCAACTCCCCTTCACACTTCACGCGGAGTACTTGTTTTGTCGCTGGCCAATCAGCTGTCAGAGTGGTGAAGTCACCTCCTCTGGGAGGCGACGGGAAGCTTTCCCTCGGGTGGTTACCTGGTTTTTGGCGAGTTCATATTCAAGAATCTTGAATTTGAAAAGCGCCATGTGGAACTCGGGCTTTAACGCACGCATTTAATGAGACGACACCAAAAGTTGTCCACCACCCGTAGTGGGGGATGGGTCATGGTCGATCTTGACCGTCGAGGGCAAGGATCCATCGGTGCTGCAGGAGCGCCTGGTAAATTCATGACCGCTAGGAGCAACTACCCGTTCTCCTGGCCGGCTCTCGCGCAGCTCCTGGACCTCATGGCATCATTCATTCCCTGTCTTCCCCCCCCCCCCCTCCGAGGGGTATTACACTCTAAAAACGGGGTGAGGTAGGAAAGAAGCTCTGATACCAAGCGCTATGAGTTGTACTAAACAGAGTGCGCAGAAGACTTTATATATATAAAAAAAATTACAGAATGAGGATATAATGAATAAGGCGAGCATTTATAGGGCGAATACGTGCTAGGCGAGAACCTCGTGACGTGCGAGGGTTGGATGTGTCGTGATTGGTGCGGGGCGACTCGGCAGTGGTCGGGCCGAAATGTAGGCCGAACCGGAAACTTGCGCGCAGTGTTCGGGGCTGTCCTCGCTAAGGGCAGCTTCGGCAGTAATGAATTGTATATTCATTACAGCCAGCTCATTCCTTCGCTAGATGTCATGTTTTGCTTCGATAGTGCAATTCTCGCTCTCTCCCATAACAGTAAGAACACGTCGCGTTACTATCCCCATGTCAGAACAGGCTGGCAAACCACAAGCGCATCACTGACACCCGAATCTTACGGCCTCTACTCGTTCGTCCCCGTTCATTCGTCAACTCAATCTGCCGCACTACGCGCGTCGCCTACCCCACGCTTTGTTGCCACTCGACTGCCCCTGACTTACGTGCCCAAGCTCGCCTTCGCATCGAGGTGTGTCGCAGCAGTCGCAAGAGCCGTCGCACGACGACAGCGCGACGCTCGTAGCCGTAGCATCTCTTTCACCACCATGCGTTGCCGCGATGCACCATCGCTTCGACCGTGCTGAGTGCCGCGCTAGTTGCCACGCTGTACTTCGAAACCCATCGGCACCGAATTGCGCGCAGTAACCGTACGTTCCGCCATGGGGCGGCGCATGGCGGCGCTGCGATGCGCGCCGTGCGGCTGGAGGCGAGTCTTGGCGGCGGGGGTGCTGATGGCGCTCGCGCTGGTTGCGCTCGATATCGCGACCGACTATGACGAGGACGACGATGCGGGCTTGCGACCACGCGGCATGCTATTTGATGAGCTGGATGATGACGGCCCGGATGATCTCTGGACGTTGGAGACGAAGATGAGCCGTGGATGCGCTTCAGGGACGAAATCTAACGGTTGCGAGCGCGTGGACGCTGTAGTCGTTGCGGATGTGCGTGTCAGCTCCATCTCATTTCCCATCCCTCACCGCCATCCTTCTCCCCCCATATGTCCGCATACCTTCCTCCCCTTCCGCCTCCGCGCGCCCAATCCACTCTGTCCCGCCCCATTCTCTCCCGCATTCCACTCTTTCGTGTCACTCACTCACTCAACAGTTCTCAATCGTTCTCCTCGCCCACTCTCCTCGCTCATTCTCGTCCCACCACCGCCCCCCATGCCCATGCGCCGCGCGCGTCGCAGGGCGAGCTGGGCGAGAGGGTGCACGCGGTGTGCGCGGCGTCCGCCATGACGGCGCTGAGCTCGCTGCTCACGCTCGCCGTGTGGCCGGCCGACCGCCACATGCCGCACGTCCGCTTCTCCCACCTCTTCTCCCTCACGCCGCCCGCGCCCGCCTCCTTTTCTGCCGACACCCCTGCCACGCCTGTTGCCAACGTCACGGCGGGGGCTGGCGGGGGGGCGAGATGGGAGAGGAAGAGTGCGTTCGTGGGCGGGCCGGAGCGGCGAGTGTGGGTGCGCGAGTCAGCGCTGCCTGCTGCGGCGTGGAGGAGCGGGCTCAACCTTGCCAGGCGCACGGTACACCTCCTTGCCGTTGCCGCCACCCCTCTCCCCTTTCACACTCATCCTCGCACCTCACTCACCCCTCCTCACCCCTCACCCACCCCTCGTCTCCCCGCAGTCACTTACCCCTCCTCCACGCGTGCATGCCTGCGTCCCACCGGCCAGCCTCGTCCACTTCACCTCTCTGCGTCCTCACATCTCATCTTTCCCTCGTGCTTGCCACTCCCACTCTCTCCTACCTCCCCCTATCTCCGCTTTATCCCAAACTCCCGCCTCCAACTCCCCCTCCTCCCCCCATGGCGGCCAGGTGGTGATACCGGGGTGTCCGCAGGGCTCAACGGCGGAGGCGCAGGGCGGGGGGGCGGGGGGCAGCAGAGGGGGCGGGGGGGGGGGCAGCACGGCGGTGCACCTCTTCCTGTCGCCGGACGCCGTCAACTGGCTCGGCCTCGTGAGCCCCACTCCCTCCCTCCTACCTCCGCTGCCATCCGTGCACTGCCTCCCATGCGCACTGCCTCCCATGCGCACTGCCTCCCATGCGCACTGCCTCCCATGCGCACTGCCTCCCATGCGCACTGCCTCCCATGCGCACTGCCTCCCATGCGCACTGCCTCCCATGCGCACTGCCTCCCATGCGCACTGCCTCCCATGCGCACTGCCTCCCATGCGCACCTGCCTCCCATGCGCACCTGCTGTGTAGCAATGCACCTCGCATCAGAATGCTCCTCGTCTTCCACGCTTCCACTCTCTCCATGCCCTTCCCTGCCCCTCTCACCCTGCCCCTCTCGCCCTGCCCCTCTCACCCTGCCCCTCTCGCCGTGCCCCTTGCCCGCCAGTCGCTGCCGGACGCGTGTGCGTTTGAGCGCGCCATGGGGGCGTGCATGGCGGCGCTGCACCCCTCGCCGCCCGTGCAGCAGCTGCTGCAGCAAGAGAACGCCACGCGCCTGCACGCCTCCTATGGCGTCTTCGTGGATGTGAGTGGGGGAGGAGGATGGAGGGAAACGGGGAACGCACAGCTCAGCGAGGGGAGGGGGCAGGAGGTGGGGAGAGTAGAAGGCGAGTGAGTGGGAGTGGGTGGGGTGGGGGCAGTGAGAGCCATGGACTCGCTGTCACCCATCTAACCACGCATCCCGCCATCCGCCCCTCCCTGCCTCTCTTGCTCTCTTGTCCCGATCAGACGCTGGCAGCAGCGGGGTGCAGCGGGTGTCCGAGCAGCAACGGGTCGACGGCGGTGGAGTGTGTGATGCGGCGCGTGACCATGAGCTTCCTCAAGGACCCCTCCAAGGGCTTCACTCTCGCCGCCTCCAACCCCCACCACACCGCTGCCGTCGCCGACTTCTTCCACCCGCACCGTGCGCCCGCCCTGCTGCACGCCACGCTGCTGCGCGCCACCACCTGCCCCTTCGGCGAGCACGTCACCGCTGCCCCCGGCCCGCGGAACTTGCCGCCGGGGACCAGTGCAGCCGCCCTGCAGGCACTGCTGGCAGGCGCCGTGGCAGGGGGTGGCGGAGGAGCAGGCGATGGGGGCGGCAGTGGAGGGGGGGAGGAGGTGGCGGTGCTGCTGCCTTTCAACAACCGCGTCACACCGGAGCAGCTGCTGCTGTGCCTGCATGCACGGGTATGAGTGTGCATGCACGGGTACAAGTGTGCATACACGGGTACGAGTATGCACTACCAATCTCTCTCTCCACTACCCTTCCACTCAATATCGCACCCCTCCCGACACCAATCTCTCTGTCTCCACTACCCTTCCTCTCCCGCCATCTGCTCCTTTCCTGTGTGTGCGGGTGGGCAGGTGGCGGAGCTGTATGCGTTGAGTCGCACGCGGGGGCTCATCGCGGTGAACTCGTCGTCGGCGGAGGCGCGCTTCATTGCGGCGCACGGCAGCGCTGCCAGCGAGCTCTTCCGCGTGCAGCGAGCCGTGTGTGACTCGCCGCCGCTGCGCCCCATCACCCACCTCAAGTTCGCTAGATACACCATCGTGGAAGGTGGGTGACCAAGGAGGAAAGGAGATTCTTTGCTTCTTTGCTTTCGATTACCCGCATGCTATTACTAAACACTGTACTCTTGTACTCCTTCCGTCATCTCCGCTAGCCGTCACTCTCCCACTCCCCACCCTCGTGGCCGACCGCCTCCCTTCCATTTCTGCAACAGTTGCACTTCCCTTGCCATGCCACCACTCCCCTTGCCATGTGACCATTCGATGATGTCGCCATCCTGCTGCCTTTTCTCGACCTCCCATGCTGCCACCATGCCATGCTGCACCCCGTGCACCATGCTCTCTCATACTGCTGCCTGCCTCGTCTTCTGCCCCACTGCCCCTGCCTTCCTCGTGTGTGCCCCCGCAGAGCGCCTGGGAGTGATGTACTGCGGGGTGCCCAGTGTGGCGTCCACGGCGTGGCTCACGTGGCTGCGCGCGCGCCTGGGGCTGCCCTCGGCACGAGAGGGCCACGTGGCGGTGGACGACCGCGATGGCGGGCTGCACGAGCTCGCGCTGCACTTCACCGAGGCCCAAGCCGTCCGTCCGCCCCCTCCTTGCCTCACCCACTCCACTGCCTCTCTCCCTACGGGGGGTTGGTTTCCTCCGGGGATCTCCTTAAAGCCCAAAAAAAAAAAAAAAAAAAAGCTGCCACCCAATCTTCTCTCTCGTTCCCATCCATTTCCATTCCGCTGCGCCCCCCGCACGTGTTGTGCCTAACTGTGTCCCTCACCACTTCCCAGCGCTGTACTTTCGCGAATATCTTCATCCACAAGCTACCGCTACTGTTCCAGGTTTCCCCGCAACAACCCCCCTTGCCACCTGCCGTGTCCCCCTCGGCCCCCACCAGGTGCGCATCATCACGCGGCCGGACCTGCTGCGCTTCACGTTTGTGCGCAACCCCTTCTCGCGCCTCGCCTCCACCTTCCGCTCCACCGTGCTCGCCTCCCACCACAGCCTCGCGCCCACCTCGCGCGACCACTGGAGCAATGTGAGGGGGGGACAATGTGAGGGGGGGGCAATGTGAGGGGGGGGCAATGTGAGGGGGGGGCAATGTGAGGGGGGGGCAATGTGAGGAGGGGGCAATGTGAGGGGGGGGCAATGTGAGGGGGGGAGTTCAGCCAGAGGCATTGTGAGGAAGGGGGGCAATGTGAGGCAGGGGGGCAATGTGAGGCAGGGCAATGTCTGCCATAGGCGCATGCATGCGGCGTGGGGGATGTGGGGAGCGGGATGTGGGGATGTAGTTGTGGTGCTGGGGCCGTGGGGTGCGAGAGGGGGAGATTCAAGCAAAGGCAAGCACATTCTTCTCTGCTTTCCTGCAAGCTTCTCCTCTCACCCTCTCTCCCCAAACTTCTCTTCAACCCGCTCCATCTCACCATCCCTCCGTGCGTGCGTGTGTGTGTGAGCAGGCATTGTTCCGGGCGGTGCGGCCCATAGTGGAGGCGGTGGTGCGGGAGGGCGAGGGGCAGCTGTCCTTCCCGTCCTTCGTGCGCCTCGTGGGCCGCCTCATGGACCACAGCCGCCCCCTCATGGACTCCCGCATAGCGCCTCAGGTGGGGTGTTGCGCCTCAGGAAAATAACAGCACGGGGGTGCCCCTGGCGGGGGTGTGCCAGGTGGGGGTGCGCCAGGTGGGGGTGCGCCAGGTGGGGGTGCGCCAGGTGGGGGTGCGCCAGGTGGGGGTGCCCCTGGTGGGGTTGTTATCGCTCAGGTGGGAATGCTGTGCCTGAGCAGATTACAAGCGGTTTGGCACAGGCGTTGGGCTAGGCGAGCGATACTGGGATGCGAGTCACAGGTGGTTGAGGTGGTGAGGATGTCACGGCAGGTGGGCATGTAGTTGCGTGTATGAAAACATGGTACAATTAGTCATTGACAAGTAAAATACTCTAGAATGAGTGCGTATGCCAGTTGTAAAGCATTGATTCGTGCTGCTTATATGAACCGATGAGAATCATGGTGATGGTGACCAAGTGTGACGGGAGGGTCAAGTGGAGCTAACGGTGTCTTGTTTGACGCATGTGCCTTCACTCCCTTCACCCCCGTGCATGGTGCGTGGGTGTGGGGCGGGTGGCAGGTGGACGTGTGTGCGCTGTCGACCATCAAGTACGACGTGGTGGGCCGCGTCGAGAGCCTGCTGGACGACGCCCGCGCTGTCGTGGACCGCGTGGGCGGCGCGGGGCAAAACGCACAGCTGGAGATTTTTGAGGAGGACGGCACAGGGAAGGGTGCAGACGCTGATGCCAGCCTTGCACGGCTGTATGACAAGGTGAGGCACGGCTGTATGACAAGGCAAGGCACGGCTGTGTGACAAGGCGAGGCACTGCTATGTGCTGGCCGCAGACCTCTTGCTTCCATTGCTGCATTGCTGCCATGCCCCATGCTGCCATGCTGCCATGATGCCATGATGCCATGATGTGATGCTGCAATGCTGGCATGCTCCCATGCTTCCTTAAAGCCATGCTTCCTTGATGCCATGCTGCCATGGTGCAGGACACATACGAGGCGGTGAAGAGCATATACGCCATGGACTTCTATGTGGCGCTCAACAACATCACACAGCCCGCGCCCCATGTGCTGCACGACCTGCTCGAGAGCGAGCTCTGAACCTGCGCCGCCGCTGCCCCCTCCCCAGGCCCTCAGATTGGTTTTAGGCAACACTTTCTGGTCAGTGTTGGTACAAAAAAAAAAAATTTCTGTCAGCGTCCATACGTGAAAACACCCTGGAAAATCAGTGTTGTATCTGGAAAAAAAAACTTTCACATCAGTGTTCATAACATTTAACTGGCTGATTGATTGCATCACCTCACCAGATGAACCAATGAAACGCTTTCATTATACTTCAGCAAGCGAACACACACACACACACACACTAATACAACATCGCATCCTCATCATCACCACCACTGTCTGCTACACCTACATCATCTTCATCTAGGTCTACTGGGTTGTCCTGGTCTCCTCCTGCCTCTGCCTCCTCCTTCCCCCGACGCCTCCTATCTGCCTCCTGCCTGGCGAGGTTGCAGGTGTTGAGCGGCTTCCGCTTCTTGTAGTTATGCCAGATCTCCACGATCTCGTCCCAGTTAGGCTTGTAACGGAGCAGCGACATGCACATTAAGTCACTAAGCCGAGCATCTTTGAGGCTGCCTCGATGCCAGGACTTTATGACGTTCTGCCGCGAGAAGCCGCACTCGCATTCGACTGTGCTCAATGGCAGGACCGCCACCGCCACCCACAGCCGCATCAGGTTCGGGTGCTCCTGCCAGTCGTTGGTCTTGAGCATGGCGGTAAGCCCAATGTGGAATCCTCGCTCACCCTTCGGTGCATGTGAAAGGACGAGGATCAGCAATCGCACTTCCTTGACTGCTTTCTTCTTGTCGACCCCTGCAGTCAGAAAAAACAAGCATACATTTAAGAACATTGTTGAAATCAATGAAATGTTACATGACACAAGGATTTAGAGGCACGGCACACACATTAAAGGTTATAGGCTCACCAGGTACGATCTCCTCGCTCTCTTCCGCTTGGAAGAGAGTGATCAGCGCCTCCAGATGCTCCTGACACTTCGCTTGGCGCTCGTGCCTGGCGTGCGGCCAATTGTCGGGAAGGAACAAGCTCACGCCCGAGAGAATGTCGAGGTCGCCCAAGCGATCCAGGAGGTTGGCCACGATGAGCTCAGCGAACTCGGTGCAAATGTCTATGCATGCGTCGTGGTGCCCAGGTCCAGGGTAGTCCGCAAGCCGATCTTCATGCAGTGTGAATGTGAAGGTGCATGCCTGCCCGTCGGAGTCGCTGCCCTCGATGTTCACTTCCCGCTTGTCTTCAGGACCATGCTTCTCCAACCATGGTGAGAGCCTCGGACTGAGACCACCGCCAAACTCATCCCCGCAGTCGACGTAACGGGCCTCCAGATGTCCAGTTGTACGGCGAATCTGCGTATGCACAGCTGACAGATCGAGCTGCGGGGGATGGAAGCAAGGCAGAAGAAGGAGGGTAGGACAAATTTAAAATAAACACCTGAGAGTAGACGAACCAAACACATAGACAATGGACATGAAAGTCCGGCAAATGTACACGCACCTCTCGACGCTGGAACGTCCTACTCAGAACGTTCATCTGGTCAAGCACGTCGGAAAGGAAGAACAGGAGAAAGTGGAACCGGTACGATGTCACCACCAAGTACAGCTTTTCGTTCCACTCCTTCAGCATTATGATGACTGCCGGCAGGACCGCCACAAACCTGGTGATGGCATCACCATGGGATAGCCACCGAACACTGTGAATTCCCTGCAGCTCCAGAAAAGTTTCGGTGAAAACCTCCTGAAGGTCCTTGAAGCGCTGATGCCATGGACCCGAACGGCCCAGATGCTCGGCGATGGCACGGATGGTATTGTCAATCATGTTGAAGACAGGTAAGCTCTCGGCAGCATCCGTGGCGGCAAGGGCCTCCCTGCGAACACACTCACAGGGAAAGTGTATTAGAACATGATGAATGAATAAAGCAGACAACGCATACACACACGTTTCCAACTTACCGGTGTGCAATACAATGACAAGAGACGAGGTGAGGTATGCGAAGCCGAAGCCTCGCAACCAAGCCCGACCGTGATCCCATCATCACGGAAGCCCCGTCCGTGCTGATGCCCACGATGCGCCTCAGGTCAATGCCACACACCTGCAAATGGGACAGCAACAACTGCAACAACGAGGCCGCATCCGCCTTGTCGACCGTCAGGAGCGCCATGAACTCGGTGGTGAGGCATGAGTTGCGAATGAACGTCACGAAGAGGATGAGGTGTTTGCCTCTGCAGCGATCGGGGCTCTCATCGCACGATATGCCGAGGTAGGGACTTGCCAGAACCTCCTCGAGCTGTGTTGCCTGCAGCCACGTTGCCATAGACTGAGTCAACTCCCCGAAGCCATACCTGACAAGTAAGCAAGAACATGAAGGTTAGCCCTGGCCATCGCAAGCAGATAAATTGCAACCAATCTTAGGATAATGACTTACGTCGTGTAGTATGTCCCGTATCCCTTCTTTGGGAATCCGGGGACTCCCTTCTCAGCAAGGTAACGGACCAAACCCACCCACATCTCCATGGGAGCATCTTGCTTGCTGACAAAGAGTAGAGCATCCATCAGCGACACCACTCGGACCTTTTCGCTGTCGTGCGCGAGTGGATGCTCGTCAATCCGCGGCTACCTCGTCCCTCCTACAAGCTGATCCTGCCGTTGTTTCGCGAGCTTGTGCTTGTTGGTGGCAGCGTGTTGCGTGAATGCCTACTTTTGAACGTCGACTGCACCTTCCGTATGCTTGCCGGTCTTGCCAGACAACCCTGCATGTTCCAGACACACAGAACACTTGAAGGCAGGGAGACCAGTTGAAGTTTTGACAAGCTGCAGCCAGGCGAATTGACCTTGCCACCGTGTTTTGAACCTATCAAGAGCAACGGCATAAAGCTCCTCGACATTAGCTGACAGCTGGTTTGAGGCTGCAGCTTCGAGTACGGGCGGAGTGGGAACGTTGGTGGGTGCCGTCGGTGGCGCTGATGAAGGTCGAAGGAATTTCAACTTCGACTGTACGAGCCGAGCAACCGGGGACGCCGATGTAGCTGCCTGAGGGTGAGATGCAGGTGGAACGGGCCGATCTGCAGGGGACGCCACTTCGGGAGCAGTAGGTTGCGATGCAGGTGGTACGGGCCGAGATGCCGGGGAAGCCATCTCAAAGCCTGGTGGTTGATCCGGAGTAGTAACCATAGGAGAAGCCGGGGACGGTGCTGCTGGTGTTGACGGCGAAACATGTACCGTCGTGGGTACAGTTTCGGTGACATCGAGTGGCGTTGAGGTGTTAATAACTGGGGCGACAATTGAGTCTGGTGGGGCGGAAGTTACGGTGGGAATAGCCGTCGCAGAAGTAACGGGTGGATTCTTGCTACGCGGTGGAATGGGTGCTTTCGATAACAAACACAGCAACAGGTCTAGACCCGTGCGTGCTATCTCCATCTCTATGTCGTCAGCTCCGTCGTTGGCAGCAGCACCATCAACGGGTCCAGCCATGGCGGGAGTAAGGACATCTCTAGGAGGGTGGAGTGGTGAGTCAGCCGAGAAACAGCACTAACGAAGCTCAACTAACCTAACACGGCGCTCAAGAATGGGGTGAAAGGGATGGGGAAGGGAGGGTCACCACACCTCGTTGGTGATTGGTTGATGACAGCCTCAACAAACCCCACCATGCAGGCGTGCGTGGATGGTCCCCTATGGGCCATCCACGAAATGGGATGGATGCGCTCCTTTTTTCGGCACGATTCCACAGCTTCACGGTTTACAACAGTGACGCAGTGGAATCTTGCCAGCCCTGGCCAAGTGATTGGGCACGGCGTGTGATCACCTGAAACTGCCCAATCACTTGCCAGCTACCCTGGTGATGGCGACAACACATCAAGTCAGGAACGTGTGTGGTGGTGTGGATACAGTGAAGATGCCATATTCCCGTGATTGACGGTGACGGCGGATTGGCGCGAAAATTTATTTTCCAGATAAACTGAATCTAGGCATTTCCGCAACTATACCTGTACCCTGTACTGTATGATTCGATTCAGGGTCCCCAAGCAAAATCACGCTGGAAATTCAGGCCTGGTACGCAAAAGTTAGCAGGAAAATCAGGATAGACATTTGAAAAAAAACTTTCTCATCAGCGCTGGGGAAAAAAAAAACCCTGAAAATCAGTGTTCAAAGCCCAAATCAGGGTAAAATTCCTGTAATATGAGGGCCTGCCCCTCCCCCACATGCCTCACTAGCACTTTTCCCAGGTCATAGATTATATGCCCATGTGCCCCAACCCAACTCTTGAAAGGGCAAAAACAACTAGGGAACTCTATCCAAGGAGGTACCTATCAAAATTCTTCTGTGTTTAAAGGTGAAAAAAAGGGACTTTCTACAGATTCCCAAACACAGGCTAGGGAGGTTGTTTGGGTGTGTGTGAGAACAACAATTGACAATAATAAAAAGTACAAGAAATACAGTCTCGTAAAGTACCTATTTGGTGACATAAATGTTCACTAAACGGACTGAATATCGAGTCCAATCTATGGAGGAGTAAATTGTGAAAGCTTGCTATTTGTCTTGCAAATGCAACGTCTCATTTCAACTGGCAAGTACGGGATTTTTTATCGTCCAAGCATTTTACAATATGAAAACAATAGATTCCCATATAAAACTAGGGTTGGAGGGCAGGGAACTTGAAAGCTGAAAGTTAGAAATGAAAAACACGGGTGAAGGCCATATGGCCTTCGCTCGCCCCCACTTTTATGCCGAAAAAAGAGGGGAAGTAGCAGTTCGCCGAAGCATTTTGCTTCGGTACAAATATCATCGCTGTTCACAATACACAGTTTTCGAAGGTGTTACACACTTTCGAAAATTACATACTATAAAGGCTGAGAAACTTAGAACGAGAATGGATTGACTAAGGAATGAAAGTGATACAAATATGAAACCCTAGAATTGTGTACCCCTTAGTATCTAACCCGCTACAGCCTACACAGGCTAGATCATATAAGTTTGACACACCCCCATAGGCAAAGTGGGGGAGAACAAGGGGTCACAAGACCAGT